AGTATCTCAAAAGTTCCTCAGAATCCTAAATGTTACCCATGACACCTTCTTCTTCCTCAGCCTTCAACTCTTAACCATCATAGTCAAGTCATTACCAAATGCGTACATTTTACCACCTAAATATTTCTTGAACCCATTTTCTTCCTCCTCTGTTGTCGGGGCCCTAATCTAATATGCCATCATCTTTTAAAAAAATTAATTAAGAAAAACTTTGAAATAATCGTAGATTCACATGTATTTTAAGAAATAGTAGAGATAGAGCCTGTGTACCCTTTACCCAGTTTATCCCATTGGTAACATCTTGCAAAACTCTAGTGCAGTATCACAACCAGGATATTGACATTGAGATACAGAACGTTATCATCACCACGAGGATGCTTCTTGCTTTTCTTTTTTTTTAAATTAATTTTTTAGAGCAGTTTTAGGTTCCAGATTGAACAGAAAGTATAGAAATTTTCCCATATATCTCCTCCCCCTACACATGCACAGCCTCCACATGTAAAATTGGTATAACTGCATTGACATACTATAATCATCCAAAATTCATAGTTTACATTAGGGCTCACACTTGGTGTTGTCCATTCTATGGATTTAGACAAATGACACTTATCCACCATTATAGTATCATACAGAGTATTTTCACTGCCCTGTAAATTTTCTATACTCTGCGTATTCATCTTTCCCTCCCCACAGTCTCTGACAACTACTGATATCTTTTTACTCTGTCCATAGTTTTGCCTTCTCCAGATTTTCATATAGTTGAGAATCATACAGTATGTAGCCTTTTCAGATTAGCTTCCTAGTAATATGCATTTAAGGTTCCTCCGTGTCTTCTCATGGCTTGATAGCTCACTTCTTTTTAGTGCTGAAAAATATTCCATTTTCTGGACGTATAACAGTGCGTTACCCATTCACCTACTGAAGGACATTTCCTTAAACGGTCACTTGGCCATCCCCTTAGTGTTTCCTTCTGACCATACTTTCTCATTTTTTACAGTATTGATGGGCTGAGAATTTTCCAAATCTTTCATTTCTGCTTCCTCTTTGCTTGTCTTTAACTTGCACTATATTTATATTTATTTATATTGTACAGTCAGGAGGAGCCAAGTCGCACCTTCAATATTTTGCTTAGAAATAGCTTAAGTTAAATATCCAGTTTCGTCACTTGCAAGTTCTACCTTCTACAAAACGCTAGAACATGAACACAATTCAGCTAAGTTCTTTGCCACTTCATAACAAAGATCACCTTTCTTCCAGTTTCCAGTATCATGTTCTTCATTTCTGTGACCTCATCAATATGAATTTTACGCCCAGCATTCTGTTCAGGATTACCTAGGTATTCTCTGAGAAGATTGAGGCTTTCTCTACAACTAACTCTCTTTTATTTCTGAGCTTTCAACAGAATTGCCCCTAAGAGTCCAGTCACGGCAATGCAGACTTTTTCTAGCATGCACCTCAAAACTCTTCCAGCTTCTACCCATTACCCAGTTTTAAAGCTGCTCCCCCATTTTTAGGTATTTGCTACAGCACTCCATTTCTCAGTACCAATTTCTTTGTCCATTTGGGATGCTATAACAGAATGCCATAGACTGGGTGGCTAAAACAGCAGACATTTATTTCTTATTTCATTATTTCTTGACAGTTCTCAAGGCTAGGAAGTCCAAGATCAAGGTGCTGGCAGATTTGATGTCTTGTGAGGCCTCTACTCCCTGGTTTGGAGATGGCTGTGTTCTTGCTCCTAATACCATCTCACTGGGGGTTAGGATTTCAACATAAGAATTTGCGGAGGATATAAACATTCAGTATATAGCAAAATATAGTACTTTAAAATTCTTATTTAAAATATATTTATTAAATAAACACTGTAGCAATAATAACAGGGAACAAATAATCATGTAAAGAACTCATAATCTTACCTTCATCCTAATACATCTACTTGGTGAGCCTTAGTCTAATTATATCCTGGTAGCTGAGCTGCTATTCAGTATTTACTTTCCAATGGTCATTAACTAATTACCTCTGCTTAAAATTAAAAAAAAAATTTATATTGGTAAAAATATGTTTCATGTTACGGTTCAGGCTTAAGGAAGAAACAGGCACTTCTTTATTAATTAAAAGGAAATGAACACCCCCCAAAACATAAACTCATTGAACATGTCACTGATCCAAAATTTTGAAAACCTTTCTTCATGTTATACTTGGCAACACACGTTGTTACTTCACATTACTTATCCACTCCCCAACTCACCTTTCCCCATAAAAAAGAAAGCCAACAAACAACCCGTGTAACTTCGTAATTATCAGTGGTTTGTTGAGACATCTTTGCTCAAAATCCTTGTCCTCCGTCATAGCTCTGTTGTAGACCTCCTTTCTGCAGTTTAAGAAACACTAATGCATTAGGTATAACACTAATTTTGCTTTTATATTCCCTTGCCTGGTGGATAAGGGAATACAAACATTTAAAATGGTTCATGTAATATCTCAGTAGCATTAATTTCCAAATCAAGCAAAAATGTAAATAGAATAAAACCCGATTATAGTGTTTTGCTTGAGATCCATTTTAGCCACAACTCTATTATACGGAAGCAATCATTTGAGTGATTTATTAACATTTTATAACCATTTATTAATTGCCTCCAATTCTTCAGATACCACATAGTATATAGGAAGAATAAAAGAAAAAAAATACAGTCAACCAACTGAGTCTACCTGCACTGTACTACAGAACTTTCTGTGATGTTCTCTATCTGGACTGTCTCACATGGCAGCCACTAGCCACATATAGCTATTGAATGGTTGACATGTAGCTAGTATGTCAGTGTAACTGAACTGTTAACTTAATTTTTCTTAATAACAGCTTTATTGAGATATAATTCACATACCATACAATTCATCCATTGAAGCTGTACAATTCAGTGGTTTTTAGTGCATTCACAGAGTTGTGCAGTCATTACCACAGTGAATTTTAGAACATTTTCATTGCCTCAGTAAGAAAGCCGGTACTAGTGCAGTCACTTTCCAAGTTTCCCCAACTTCCTCAGCCCTAGGCAGGCACTAATCTTTCTGTCTCCATTGATTTGCCCATTTGGGACGTTTCGTATAAATGGAATCACAATTTGTAGTCTTTTGTGACTGGCTGATTTAATTTTAGTTTATTTAAATTTAATACTCACATGTGGCTAGTGGCCACCGTAAGAAGCAAGTGAAGTAAAAGACCAAATACAGATGCTTAAGTAATGCTGAAGGTTAGGAGAAGATAATCCTGTAAAAGGGGCATGTGGAAAACATGTCAGAGAGATTGGAGATGAACCCAGACAAAGCCTAGAGACAAGACACTTTCCTGAAGGAGGGTATGGTTAACAGTACCAAATAATACAGAGGGGTCAAGAAAGAATTATTTCAGTGTAGTGTTAGGATAAGAATCCTGATGACAAAGGGCATTGGAATGTGGTGGTTGGTGAAGAACTGGCACTTTAATATTATTTAGAGATAGAGGGAAGGGAGAAAATTTCAAGATAGCTTGAGAGGGGTGTCGGGATTGATGCAAATCTTATTTTATTTTATTTATTTATTTAAAAATTTATTTATTTTATTTATTTATTTTTGGCTGCATTGGGTCTTTGTTGCTATGCGCGGGCTTTCTCTAGTTGCGGTGAGTGGGGGCTACTCTTCATTGCGGTGCATGGGCTTCTCATTGCAGTGGCTTCTTTTGTTGCATAGCATGGGCTCTAGGCTTGCGGGCTCAGTAGTTGTGGCAGGCGGGCTCAGTAGTTGTGGCTTGCGGGCTCTAGAGCACAGGCTCAGTTATTGTGGCGCACAGGCTTGGTTGCTCCGCGGCATGTGGGATCTTCCTGGACCAGGGCTCGAACACATGTCCCCTGCATTGGCAGGTGGATTCTTAACCACCACACCACCAGGGAAGCCCCAAATTTTATTTTATTTCTAATATTTTTAGTGTAAGCACGAGCTTACATGTAAGCAGAAGAAAAGGATCCAGTGGAAATGAAGACATAAAAGTTAATTGAGCAGGGTTCTGAAGGATGTGAGTGAAGGTAAAACTAAGGTCATTAGCCTAGGAGTAAGATGTGCCAAGGAAGATAGAAGTTATCTTTCTCAGAGGCAGGAGTAAGTGAAGAAAAAGTAGTTGAAGATACAGAGCAAGTTTTACATAGAGAGGAAACTAAAGCAACTCATTTACTTAAAGAAAGCAGGAATGAGGCCTTCTGAGGGTAAAATTTGTTTCCTCTGACCATCACTGTGATCAAATGTGGATCAGGGAGGCTGCAAATTACTCCATGGGGCTAAGGCTATGGGAGGTGGAGGCATCAGTCACTAATATGTCTCTGGCTTTTACCAAATGACCATGTCTCCTAAAAGGAACAGGCATTCTCAGATACATAAGGCCACACGAGGTCCAGGTGTGTCATTTTTCACTTACTAGAAAGTGAAAATTACCCAAAAGTTTATATCTAAGATTTTCAAAGACAAAAATATAGCTCCATTACTCATCTTCCTTCCACCCCACTCTCCTTTCTTTCCTCCTTCTCTCCTCCCTCCCTTATTTCCTTCCTTTTTTCCCTGTATTCTTCGTATGCTTTGTAGAAAACAATGTACCGTCATTCTTTTTGCCCTATGAGAAAAACTGGAAACAAACAAAACACAGAGTTTGGGGAAAATCCAACATTAATCCATACTATAATGAATATAGAATTTGATGTTATGAAAATCCAGTATTTTCTTTATTTTTCTAAGTCATACATTTCCCCCCCTGCTTCCAATGATATAACACTTAGTGGAAGAGATGGGAAGTGCTTTGAAAACCTCAAATGACAATTATGCAAATATAAGAGAAAAATATACTAATTAGTTGATATTGATTTAACTAATAACATTACTTTAGAACAAGGATTCTATATAAAAGTTTGAAAAATTAAAGACAATTTTTGTGGTATTCTTAATATGTAAAATTATATAATTATGTATGTATGTATTTATTTTAGGCTTTTAAAACCAAGGATGGATATCTCGTAGTTGGAGCAGGAAATAACCAACAGTTTGCTACTGTGTGCAAGGTAATCTATAATATTTGGGATGGGTGGATAATATATGCAACAACTTATTTTGCACAAAGCCAGGAAAATTCAGTTTTGCCTAGAGCAATGTTGCTAAGTCTATACTCAAGACTCCCTGTGTTAGCACCTAAAAGTATGCTTTTTCTATGCTTACAAATCCTAAGGATAGGGTCTAAATTAGCACTCTGGTTTTGTAAAATTGATGTATCTGGCTGTATTTTTTTTTTTTTTTTTTTGTGTACGCAGGCCTCTCACTGTTTTGGCCTCTCCTGTTGCGGAGCACAGGCTCTGGATGTGCAGGCTCAGTGGCCATGGCTCAGGGGCCCAGCCGCTCCACGGCATGTGGGATCTTCCCAGACCGGGGCACGAACCCGTGTCCCCTGCGTCGGCAGGCAGACTCTCAACCACTGCGCCACCAGGGAAGCCCTCTGGCTGTATTTTTAAATGAAGAATAATAGTAGCTTAAATTATGCTAAAAATTGACCTGTCTACTAGTCCAAACAAAAAGGGAAAAGTCATTTTAAAGGGATTTTTAATACCAGGATTGTTTTTCTGAGAAAAAGAAAGGAACAGAGGAACTAGAAAACAATCAGAATACAATTAACAAAATGGCAAAAAGTACATATCTATCAATAATTACTATAAATGTAAATGGACTAAATTCACCATTCAAAAGACATGGAGTAGATGAATAGATAAAAACACAAGACCCATATGTACGCTGCCTACAGGAGACTCACTTCAGATGTAAGGACACACACAGACTGAAAGTGAATGTATGTAAAAAGTATTTCATACAAATGGAAACCAAAACAAAGCTCTGGTAGCAATATTTATATCCAACAAAATAGACTTTTGTGATAAGAGACAAAGAAGGGCGTTGCATACTGATAAAGGGGTCAGTCCAACAAGAGTATATAACATTTGTAAATATTTACGCACTCAGCATAGGAACACATAAATATAGAAAGCAAATGTTAACAGAGCTAAAGGAAGAACTAAACATCAATACAATAATAGTATGGGACTTTACTACCCCACTTACATGAATGGATAGATCATCCAGACAGGTAATTAATAAGGAAACATTGGTCTTAAGTTAGACCAGATGGACTAAACAGATATATAAAAACAGTTCATCCAAAAGCAACAGAATACACATTCTTTCTCAAGTACCCATGGAGCATACTCCAGGATAAATCATGTGTCAGGCCACAAAACAAGTCTTAATAAATTTAAGAATATTGAAGTCATACCAAGCATCCTTTCTGACCACAATGGTATGAAACTAGAAACGAATTACAAGAAAAAAAACTGGAAAATCACAAATGTGTGGAGATTAAACAACATGCAACTATAAAAATGACTGGATCAATGCAGAAATTAAAAGAAATTTAAAAAATACTTTGAGACAAATGAAAATGGAAATACAACATACCAAACCTTATGGGTTGCAGTAAAAGCAGTTGTAAGAGGGAAGTTCATAGCGATAGATGGCTACCTCAAGAAACAAGAAAAATCTCAAATAAACAACCTATATTTACACCTCAAGGAACTAGAGAAAGAAGAACAAACAAAGTTAGTAGAAGGAAGGAAATAACGAAGATCAGAGCGGAAATAAATGAAATAGAGACTAAGAAGACAATAGAAAAGATCAGTGAAACTGAGAGCTGGTTCTTTGAAAGGTAAACAAAATTGACAAGCCTTTAGCTAGGTTCAAAAAAAAAAATCAGAAATGAAAGAGGAGGTGTCATAATTGATACCACAGAAATACAAAGGATTGCAAGGGACTGTTATGGACAATTATATGCCAACAAATTGGACAACCTAGAAGAAATGAATAAATTCCTAGAAATGTACAACCTTCCAAGACTGAATTATGAAGAAATAGAAAATCTGAAGAGACTGATTACTAGTAAGGAGATTGAATTAGTAATCAGAAACCTCCTAACAAACAAAAGTATAGGACCAGATTGGTAAATTCTGCCAAACATTCAAAGAAGAATTAGTGCCAGTTGTTCTCAAACTCTTCCAAAAATAGAAGAGGAGGGAACACTTCCAGATTTATATTACAAGGTCAGCATTACTGTGATACCAAACCCAGCAAGGACACCACAAGAAAAGAAAACTACAGGCCAATGTCCCTAATGAGTACAGAGGTAAAAATTCTCAACAAAATATTAGCAAACTTAATTCAACAATACATTAAAAGGATCTTACACCATCATCAAGTGGGATTTATTTCTGGGAGGCAAGGATGTTTCAACACACACAAATCAATCAATGTGATATATCATACTATTAGAATGAAAGAAAGGAATCATGACCATCTCAATAGGCATAGAAAAAGTATTTGACAGAATTCAACATTCATAATAAAAAACTCTTAGATTAAGTATAGAAGGAACATATTTCAACATAATAAAGGCCATATATAACAGGCCTACAGCTAACATCATGTTCCGTGGTGAAAGGTTGAAAGCTTTTCCTCTAAGATCAGGAACAAGACAAGGATGCCCACTCTCACCAGAGTTATTCAACATAGAATTGGAAGTCCTAGCTAGAGCAATCAGGCAAGGAAAAGAAAGAAAAGTTATCAGAATTGGAAAGGAAGAAGTAAAATTACTTCTACTTGCAGATTACATGACTTTATAGTTAGAAAATCCTAAAGATTCCACCAAAAATCTATTGGAATAGTAAATGAATTCAGCAAAGTTACATGATATAAAAGTCAATATACAAAAATCTATTGTGTTTCTGTACACTAATAACAAACTATAAAAAATGGAAATTAAGAAAACAACCTCACAGTTGCACCAAAAAGAATAAAATACCTAGGGATAAATTTAGCCATGGAAGTGAGAGACCCATACACTGAAAATTGTAAGACATTGATGAAAGAAATTAAAGAAGACACAAATAAATGAAAAGATATTATGAAAAGATATTCTGTCCTCATGGATTGGAAGAATTAATACTGTTAAAATGTCAGTACTATCAAAAGCCATCTATAGATTCTGTGCAATCCCTATCAAAATTCCAGTGGCACTTTTTACAGAAATAGAACAATTATAAAATTTATATGGAACCACAAAAGACCCTAAATAGCCAAAGTAATCTTGAGAAAGAAGAACAAGGAAGAACAGGGAGAAGGCATCATGCGCCTGGATTTCAAACTATATTACAAAGCTATAGTAATCAAAACAGTATGGCATTAGCATAAAAACAGACACACAGATCAATGGGACAGAATAGAGAGCCAAAACTAAATTCACTCATATGTGGTCAGTTAATTTATGACAAAGGAGCCAAGAATATACAATGGGGAAAGGACAATCTCTTCCATAAATAGTGGTGGGAAATGGACAGTCATACGCAAATGAATTAAACTGGACCACTATCTTACATCATATACAAAAATTAACTCAAAATAGAATAAAGGCTTCAATATAAGACCTGAAACCATAAAACCCTTAGACGAAAACATAGGTGGTAAGCTTCTTGACATCAATCTTGGTGAAGATTTATTGGCAAAAGCAAAGGCAACAAAAGCAAAAATAAACAAGTGGGACTACATCAATGGAAAAAGATTCTGCACAGCAAGCGAAAGCATTGACAAAATGAAAAGGCAACCTACTGAATGGCAGAAAATATTTGTAAATCATATATCTGATTATAGGTTAATACCCAAAATAGGTAAAGAATTCATACAACTCAATAGCAAAAACCCACACAATCCAATTAAAAAATGGGCAGAAGTTCTGAATAGACAGTTTTCCAAAGAAGACGTATAGATGGCTAACAGGTACATGAAAGATGCTCAGTGGGAGAGTGATAATAAATAAATAAACAAAACTCCAAAATGATCCATGGTAAGTGCCATGCCAAGAATTAAAATAGGCTACTGTGTTAAAATAGTGGCTGGGTTGTCAGGGGAAAGTCTCTCTGAAGAAATAACATTAAGATGAGATCTGAGTGACATTCATAAAGCAATAGCAATATGTTTTTTCAATATAAATATTAGCATAAAATGTTTGCCATGCTAATATAAATATAGTACTCAAAATTCACAAAAAAGCCTGGAAGTATTCCATAATGCTAATACAGACCATATTTGGGTGGTAGGACAGAAGTGGGTTTTTCTTTCTACTTCTATGAAGTGGTAAAATACAAAAATATATTTAGGCTTTGTCCCCGATTTCTTACACAGAGTTCCTAAAACCCTTGACATTTCCTGAATGATGGAAGTGTTTTTTGTTATTCACAACAAACTCCTTTCAATCACACCTGAGTTTATGCTACTGAGGTGACTTAGGGTGGGGTCTCTAGATAGCCCCAGGATGGGTTGGTCACCAGGAAGACCAAGTGATTAGAGGGTTAGAAATTTTAGCCCCACCTACCAACCTCCAGTAAGGGGAAAGGGCACTGGAGATTGAGCTCTATGAAAACCTTTGAACTATAAGATTCAGAGAGCTTCTGGTGAAGACAGCAAGGTGATGGGAGGGTAGTGGAGCATGGAAGCTCTGCACCCTCCCACCTCATACCTTGCCCTGTGCCTCTCTTCCATTTGGCTATTCCTGAGTTGTATCCTTTATAATAAACCAATAGTAGTAAGTTAAAAAAAAAAAAAAAGGTGCTTAACATCTCAAATCATCAGGGAAATGCAAATAAAAACCACAGTGAGATCTCACCTCACACCTGTCCAGAATGGCTATTATGAAAAAGACAAGAAACGACAAATGTTGGTGAGGATGTGGAGAAAAGGGAACACTTGTGCACTGTGGGTGGGATTGTAAATTGGTGTAGCCCCTTTGGAAAACAATATAGAGATTTCTCAAATGTTAAAAATAGAACTACCATGCAATTCAGCAATTCCACTTAAAGGTATATATCTGAAGAAAATGAAAACATTTAACTTGAAAAGATATATGCACTCCTATGCTCACTGCAGCATTACGTATAATAGCCAAGATATGGAAGGAAAAAGATTTTTTTCTCTT